TGTCTCCTATTTCAAATTTCCAAAAAAAGGAGAGTGTGATTGTTTGACCTTACTCTATAACCTTCAATAGACAAGTGTTTCTTTTCACTTAATCATCATAGGATCCTTTCTAAGGTAAATTAAGTTGTCATCAAAATAGCTTCTGAAGAGAAACACAGTAAGTAGTAAAATAGAGCAATGAGTATTAATATCAACTTTAATAGTATTCTTAATAAAAGTACTGATAAAAAAGAAAAACTCTTAGGGTGTTGGATAACAACAAAAACAGCTAACCTAACCATTCAAAGTTCAGAAGGAAGAATGGAAATCATGGAAAGAAAAACAAACTTTAATGTTAGGAATGAGCCAGAAAATATGAACAGTCATCATTTGTAAAGTGAATAAAAATTAATAAAATTCAACAAGTGTTCTTTGTTGAAAAATAAAGCAACTTTTCTTTTTAAAGTTGTATGACTTTGGGTAAATCATTTAGTTTTATGAGCTTTACTAACTTTATCTAAAAATGGAGATGTTAGTACCAGTGTTTTCTTTATTTTGTATACATCCTAGAGTAGTAAAGCTATTTAATATTATTATAACCAACAATAATAACTACATATATTAATTATATAGTCTTTTAAATTGCTTGTTCTTTAATAAGTTTTTTAAAGTTTTTGTATAATTGGCTGGACATATTTAAGATACATGTTTTGATAAGTTACAATATAATGTACATCAAGGAAACTATCACTACATTCAAGGAAATGAATAGATGAATCATCTCAGAAAATGTTCTTCCATACCTGTGTGATCTCTTCCTCCCATGATACCTTGCATCTCCTTCTACATCCTGAAAACAAAACAAAACAAAAAAACCCAAAAGACACTTTTTTTCTATCTAACTCAATTTACGTTTTTTAGAATTTTTTATAAAAAAGATAATATAGCAGGCACTCAATTTTAATTACCCTCATTAACTCAGGCTATTATTTGTTTTTGTTTTTGTTTTTTTTGTGAGACGGGCTCTCCATATGTGGTTCAGGTTGGCACTGAACTCACAGAGATTCTCCTTCCTCAGCCTCCTGAGTGCTGGGATTACAGACGTGTGGCACCATGTGTGGCTCTCAGCCTATTATTTGGAGACTCATTCATATTATTCATGTATCAAGAGCTCACTTTTCCTTATTCTTGAGTAGCATTCTGTGGTGGTTAAGCTTAATTGTGTCGACTTTTTGTCCTGGGAGCTGCCTGGGGATCAGAAGCATACTTCTGGCTACGTCTGGGTGGGCCTTGGAAGCATGACCGTCAATATTACTGTATGGGCTCCCTTACCCTTCCTGCTTAGATTGTTCCACTTTTCTGATTCCAGACTTCCAGGCTGCCATGAACAAAGTATATTTGCTCGGGCACACCATTTCACCATCATGTTTCTGCTTTGAAGCCAGCCAGCCATGGAATAAATCCCCTGAAACTATGACTCAAATGCTTCATTTCATCCTTTAAATTGCAGGTATCAGATATTTTGTCCACAACAGGTTAGTTGACTAATATACATCTGACTACATGGATACTACAATTTCTCCTTCCATTCATGTGTTAATGGACATTTGGATTGAATCCAGTTCAAGGCTGTTAAATATAAGACCACTGTGAGTATTTTGTGTATCATTTCTTTGTAGGTACACATATTTTGTGGGTATAGACATTTTCATTTCTCTTGGTCGATATGTGGGGATGGATTTAGGTATATTTAACTTTTTATGAAATTGGCAAATTCTTTTCCACAGAGACTGTTATTTTATATTCCAAAAAGTAATTCATGACTGTTATAATTTCTTTGTATCACAACCCAAAACTTAATATGTTCAGTACTTTTAATTTTAGCCATGATAATGAATGTGCACATGTATCACATTGTGGTTTGAACCTGTATTTCTTATGACCATGTTTTATATTTGTCCTTGGGCTTACAGGGCATTTATATATATTCTTTGGGGAAATATCTGTCAAATCTTTATCCATTTTATTTGGTTATTGGCTGCCCTATTGAGAGTTGGCAGTCAATTCTTTACATAGTCTGAGTATGCATATATCTTGATATAAAGGTACGATGTTATTTTCTCTCAGTCTGTGATTTGTATTTCATCCTCTTAATAATATCATTTTTCTTTTTCCAGTCCAGGGGATCAAACTCAGGACCTTGCGCTTGCCAGGCCGGCATGGTCCCACTAAGCTACATCCCTGGCCCCCTTAATTATGTCTTTTGTTTAATAGAAATGCTAAATTTTGATAAAGCCAAATCCATCAATTTATTCTTTTTTAGAGTGTACTTTTGGTATTCTGTTGTTAGATCTCTTTTGCTTTCTCCTTCTCTTTCTCAAGGTCACAAAGGTATTCTTTTATGGCTTTGATAGAACTGTTATAATTTCAGATTATATAATTGGATTGATTATCCATTTTAATAGATATATACTGTATAATTTATAGATTAAATTTGTTTTTAAATTTTCTGCATATGGATGTCCTTTTGTTCCAGATCCAATTGTTTTTTTAAATTTTATTTTAGTAGTACATATTTGCTTTACATGCATTTTATGATCATTTGGGCGAGTTGGTACATGTGCATCACACAGCTTGTTTCTTTTTTTAATCTCCCTCCCTCTCCTCCCCTAGTTATCCATTCCCCCTTTTCATAGTTACATTCATATATATATTCATAGTTCTAGTTATACATTCCCCTTTGTTAATATTGTTAATCTTAGTTTATGTTTATAGCATATAATGTCCACATTCACCGAGGTTATTAGGGGCTTGTGCCTGATACATCTTCACTCTACCTATTTCTCCGTCCTCTCCTTCCGCCTTCACCCTTGGTCCTCTGGACGCCTTCCCATGTGCTAGAGATCCATCTCCGTGTCACCTTATAGTCTTCCTTTATATTTCTCTTACTTTATACTTTGTCTTCCACACAGATCCAACTGTCGAAAACTTCATCTTTTCCCACTAAATTTTTTTGCATTTTACCTGAAAATCAGTTGCCTATATATATCTATGAGTCTATTTCTGTACTCTTATTTTATTCTTTGATCTCTTTTACTATATTCATGTCCAAACTAATGTCTTTTATAATGTAAAATCCAAATCAAGAACCATTAGTTCTCATTCTAGGTGCTTTTTCAGCATTGTTTGGGTTCTTTTACGTTCTCTGAATTTTCATGTGTGCCAGATTCAGTTTATCATTTTCACAGGAAGGCCTGCTAGGATTTTGACTGAGGTTGCATTAAAGCAACAGATGAATTTTGGGCAAACTGAGACCTCAACATTCGTCTTCTGATCACGAAAGTGGTATATGTCTCCATTCACTTAAGTCTAATTTAATTTCCATTAGTGATATGTTATAGTTTTTTTCACTGTCTTGTTCTCTTGCATCTGAAACTTTGCATCCTCTGATATCAACACCTGAATACAATTCTCCATGTTTTGAACTACTTAGAGTGGTTTCAATTTTTGTTTTGATCCTGACTAGACCATTCTCCAAACTTTCCAATACATTAGGTCTTAATTAATGACATTAAAAATTACTTAGACTTCCTTCCAGTGCAAATAGTTTCTTGTATAAAAGAGAATAGGTTTTGGAGAAGGAAATACAGGAGATGAATAATATATCTTTCATTATAGAACAAAACACATAAGTAATTACTTAAGCCATAGAAATTTGGTGCAGAAATTCACTTTAAGAATGAAAAAGTGTTTGTAACTTCAGGCACTTAGGATAATCGTCAGAAGAAATTAGTTACAATGTGAACTAAATG